ATATCCCCTCGTTCTCTAGGAACCTAGTTGGTGTCGGCTGCCTCCAGGACCTTGGCGTCACCACTACGTTCCCTGGGCACGAGCGGTATGCTGTCTGTACCGAGGCCGCCACTGGTGCCCCCCTGTCCACGTTCCCCCGGGACCCGGTGTCCGGCCTGTTCACCCGGGACACCGTGACCCCCCCGGCTGGGGCGCCCCTTCAATTGGCTGCGTCTACCCAGGTTGCTGCTGCCTGCTCCTGTTGGTCCCTCACTCACCCGACTCTCCTTTGGCACCACCGCCTTGGTCACCCTGCGCTCCCGCGTCTGCGTCACATGTCCCAGCACGGTCTCGTCCTTGGTCTCCCTGGTTCGTTCCCCGCTTTTACCTCCTCTCCCGCCCCACCTTGCACGCCTTGTATTGAGGGTCGGCTTCGCCATGCCCCTCACTCCTCCTCGTTTCCCCCTACTGTCGCGCCGCTGCAGACCCTGCACATGGACGTCCGGGGCCTCGCCCCCGTCCATGGGCCGCGTCGAAAGCGCTACTTCCTTGTGCTTGTCGACGACTTCACTTGCTACACCACAGTCTGCCCCCTGGAGCGCAAGGCCGACGTGCCTGACGCTCTCATCCCCTGGCTTGTCTCTGCCCGTGTCCACCGAGGTCTCCCTGTCCTGTGTCTTCACTCCGACCGTGGTGGTGAGTTTGCCTCAGGTGTCCTTGGTCGCTTCTGTCGTGCGGAGGGCATCACCCAGACGTTCACCCTGCCGGACTCCCCACAACAAAATGGGGTCGCTGAGCGACGCATCGGTTTGGTCATGGAGGTGGCTCGCACCTCCATGATCCATGCCGGTGCACCCCATTTTCTGTGGCCGTTCGCCGTGCGCTACGCTGCTCACCAGCTTAACCTGAGGCCGCACCCCCAACAGCCGCATGTTTCGCCGACCCTTCTTTGGACCGGGTCTCCTGGTGACGCGTCTGCGTTTCACGTCTGGGGCTGCCTTGCTCACGTTCGTGCCTCTGGCACGAACAAGCTCACTGCCCGCACCCTTCCCTGCGTCTTCCTAGGTTTCCCCCTTGACGCATCTGACTGGCACTTTCAGCACCCGCCGTCTCACCGGTTCTTTCACTCTCGCGACGTCACCTTTGACGAGTCCGTCTCCTTCTACCGTCGCTTCCCCCATTGCGGTCCCCCTGTTACTCCCCCCCTGTTCCTGGTCACTCCTTCCCCGGTGGTCCCTACTCCCCCCCCTCCCCCTCCCCGTCCTGCCCCCTCCGGTGTGTCCCACGTCACCCCTCTCCCGTCGGTTATCCCGGTCGAGGAGTCCTCTGACTCTGGTGGTCCTGCGGCGCAGTCCTCGCCCTCTGCCCCTTCTCAGGTGTCTCCTCCTCAGCCGCCTCCGCAGCCGCCGTTGCCACCGCTGTCGCAGCCGTCGTCACCGCCGCCGCCGCCGCCGCAGGCGACGTTGCAGCCGCCGTCGCCTCTGCTGCCGCAGCAGTTCGTTGAGTCTGGGGGTGCTGGCGTTGGCGTGGGTACTAGTCCTGGTGGCCCTGGGGGTGGTCCCGGTGCTCGTGGGGTTTCGGGCTCTGGGGGTGTTCCTTCTGGGGGTGCAGGAGTGGAGTTTTCCAGCGGTAGCCGAGGAGCAGCTTGCGGTCCGGGTGTCGTTATTGTGCCGCTGCAGCAGCAGTCCCCGCCGGTGTCAGCCCTTCGCCTGCTTGGCCTTCCGCCCCCTGCCCCTACGTCTGTTCCTCTCCTGCCGTCTCCTCCTCTTCCTGTCTACGGCCCTGTGTTCCCTCCGATGGACTCGTCCCCGGCTCGTTTTCCCCCTCGCTTCCCCCTTGTGTCCCCTCCTCTGTCTCCTGACCGGACTCCTCCGTCTCACGTCTGGTCTCGCCGTCCCTCCCGTGCTCGACCTGTCTCCCCTGTCTCGCGCTCTCACCCTATGTTGCTTCGTTCCCACGCGTCTCGTCCTCCTCTTCTCCCGTTGCCCCCCCCGTCCTCCCTTCTTGTTGCTCCCCCCTCTCTGTCTAACTACCTGCGTGCCGCCCGTCCTCTTGTTCCTCGGGTCCTTGCCTCCCTCGTTACGGACCCGTCTGTTCCGGTTTCAAGTCTTAACGCCCTTGCCGCTGCGGTCGCTGACTTCACCTCTACCCGCCGCCTTGACTACACCACAGCTCTGGTCTCTGACCCTGCCTGTCCTCCGTCTATCGGGGGTGCTCCTGCCCTCGGCAGTGACGTCCTGGAGGACCGCCAGTTCGAGCTTGCTTTCCTGTCCGAGGCTGCTCCCCATCTCTGTTCCATGCTGCTAGTCCCTGAGGGTGACCCAGACGCTTTCGACATCCCGACCCCTCGCACTTACGCTGAGGCGACCTCGGGACCCTGGGCCTCCCAGTGGATAGCTGCCATGGAGCAGGAGATGGCATCTCGGAGATCCACCGGCACCTTCGTCAACGCAGTTCCCCCGCCTGGGGTGAACGTAGTCGATGGCCGCTGGCTCTTCAAGGTGAAGCGCCCTCCTGCAGAGCCGGTGTGTTCAAGGCGCGCTACGTGGCTAGAGGTTTCAGTCAGCGTGAGGGGGTGGACTTCTTTCAGACCTTCGCTCCGACCCCGAAGATGACTACTCTTCAGGTTCTGCTACACCTAGCAGCTCAGCGTGACTACGAGCTTCACTCCCTTGACTTCTCCACTACCTTCCTTCAGAGCAGCCTACACGAGCAGGTCTATCTGCGTCGCCCTCAAGGCTTTACTGGCACCTTCCCTCCTTGGACCCAGTGGCTCCTGCGGCGTCCCGTCTACGACCTGCGGCAGGCTCCCCGTGAGCGGCACGACACGCTGCGTGCTACCGTTGCGGACCTGCAGTTCTTTCCGTCCTCTGCAGACCCCTCACTCTTCGTTCGTGCTGGCCAGACTCCGTTCTACATCCTTGTTTACGTGGACGACCTGGTCTTTGCCACAGCAGACAGGGACGCACTGGCCTCCGTGAAGGCAGAGCTGCTGAAGAGACAGACTTGCACTGACCTTGGAGAACTGCGCCGTTACCTTGGCTTGCGAATCTCCAAGGACACAGCAGCGCGCACCATCACCTTGACTCAGTCACACTTGGTGTGCCAGGTCCTTCAGAGGTTCGGCCTTCAATTCTCATCTGCACAGCCCACCCATCGGCCTGTAGACCACAGACTCTCCGCTCCAGTTCCTGAGGAGTCAGTAGAGCCCAGTGGTCCTTACGCTGAGCTGGTGGGTTGCCTCATGTACCTGATGACTTGCACTCGCCCAGATCTCGCATACCCTCTCAGCATCCTGGCTCGCTTTGTGGCCACAGGCAGACATCGACCGCAGCACTGGTACATCGGGCATGGGGTTAGTGCTAGGAGGACGCAGGTCAGTGGTCCTTACTGGACACACAGACGCTTCTTGGGCAGACGACGCCGAGACACTCAGGTCTTCCCAGGGCTACTGCTTCAGCCTTGGTTCAGGTGCCGTCTCGTGGAGAGCTACGCGCTCCTCGTCTGTTGCCCAGTCCAGCTTTGAGGCCGAGATCTACGCCGGTGCTATGGCGGCTCAGGAGCTCCGCTGGCTGTCTTTCTTGCTCACTGACTTAGGTGAGCGGCCTAGCTCTGCCCTGCTCCTGTACGCTGACAACAGGGCCATGATCCTCCTGTGTCAGGAGCCTCGACTCGAGGGCAGAGCGAAGCATATCCCAGCTGCGGTACTTCCTCATGCGCAAGCTACAGCAGCGCCGCCAGGCTCGCGTCGCGTAGTACACTTGGCCTCCGGTGCCAACACAGCTGATATCTTTACGAAGGCGCTTGCACCTAAAGATCATCAGAGGCAGTGTGTACAGCTAGGTCTAGTTCATGTAGTCTCTCACTTGCTAGGGCCTTGACTTTGTACTGTCCTATTTATCTATACGTACTCAGACTGGACTTGTGTCCTCTCCCAGTGGCTGGACTAGTAGTGCCGCCCTGGTCTTGTTCTTGCCTTGCATGTACTCCTTTTGACTGGTCTTTAGACCCTTGTCTCAGTGGCTGGACTAGTAGTGCCGCTCTGAGCTGCTTGTTCAGGACCTGCCCCTATGCAGTCTAGGGGGTGTGTCAAACATGTGTATCTCTAATGTTTGCATAGACTGTATAGGGTCTTCTTAGAGGGTACAACACTTGCTTGTACTCTCTCCCTACTCTATCAATCATTCAGTTCTAAGAGAACCATGTTTCAGGGAACCTCAGATTTGCCTTTTAACTATGTGGCTTTAAACGGGTCTAGACTTGTACCTATTGTCAAACATGTGTATTTGTCATGTTTGTATAGACTGTATAGGGTCGCCTCTTAGAGAGTACAACACGTAGGTATATCTGTGTGTACTCTCACTCTATCTAACATTCACTTCTCAATTCTGATATGGTATCAGAGCCAGTGGGGAAAGATGCAAGGTCAAGATAGAGCATCGGGAGGATCAGGCGACCCACCGAGGCAGCCGGAGGGGTGGAATAGCGCTGGATGACAGCATCTAAGTATGCCTGAGCAGTGGTGAGAGACCTAAAGCGAGGGCGCTCGGACGGGGGAAGGGCGTTGCTGATGGCAAGCTGAGCGACAGCATCTCGAGAAAGCCAGACAGAGCGCGCACGGGCAGTGGCAGCAGTAGACTCGCGCTCAGTGGGTGCGTAGTCAGCGGGCAGAATAGCAGGGGGGTCTGGGCAGGGGAGCGTACCGTCAAGGTGTGCGGAGAGCGGTTCACCATCCTGCCGCTGGCCAGTGAGTTGGCGACGGAGGTCGGCAAGCCACGCCTCGAACTCCAGAGGCTGGCCTTGACTTTGTACTGTCCTTTATACGTATACTCAGATTGGACTTGTGTCCTCTCCCAGTGGCTGGACTAGTAGTGCCGCCCTGCTTTTGTTCTTGCCTTGTTTGTACTCCTTCTGATTGGTCTCTCAGACCCTTGTCTCAGAGGTTGGACTAGTAGTGCCGCCCTGAGCTGTTTGTTTAGGGCATTCCCCTATGCAGTCTAGGGGGTGTGTCAAACATGTGTATTTGTCATGTTTGTATAGACTATATAGGGTCACCTCTTAGAGAGTACAACACGTAGGTATATCTGTGTGTACTCTCACTCTATCTAGCATTCACTTCTCAATTCTGATACCTATGAGGACTGTCTCCATTATGCTAAGCAGCATGTACTCACTGTAGACAGCCAGGTGCCAGGAATCATCACATAGCAAATTGCAGCCTATAATCAGTGCACACCACAGCCAGCAGCCTTCAGTCACTGCAGGTTGCCAATGACGGCCTTGGTGAAGTCGGAGGTGCCCGCGGAGCCACCCAGGTCGCGCGTGAGGAAGCGGCCCTGCGAGATGGTGCTCATGATGGCGCCCTCGATGCGGTCGGCGTGCGCGCCCATGCCCATGTGCCGCAGCATCATCACCGCGCTCAGCAGCAGCGCTGTTGGGTTCGCCAGGTTCTGGCATGGGGAGGGGGGAGGGGGGAGGGAGGTATGCATGCGAGGGAGAGAGTAAAAGAAGGGGTAAGGGGTAAGAAAAATGCGATTTCTCCAAAGGCCCTGTCGCACACTGAGGCCACGCTGAGTGTAGCGTCCATTTGTTAGCTGCAACTACCCTACCCGCACCTCCAGCTCATGCACCATCCATGCACCATCCATGCACCATCCATGCGCCCCACGCGCGTCACGCCCCATGCGCCATGCCCCATGCGGAATGCCCCACGCCCTGTGCCAATCCCCCCCCACGCGCACCTTGCCCGCAATGTCGGGCGCCGTGCCGTGCACCGCCTCCATCAGCGCCAGCCCGTCGCGGCCGATGTTGCCGCTGGGGGTGAGCCCCAGCCCGCCGATGAGCCCCGCCGCCAGGTCGCTCAGGATGTCGCCGTACAGGTTGGGCATCACCAGCACGTCAAAGTCCCGCGGCTCCCGCACCAGCTGCACACATGGGGGGGGGGGGGGAGAAGAGGGGAGGGAGGGAGGGGTTGGGAGGTGCAGGACGGGTGCGGGTGTGCATCATTCATGCATGCATCGTATGCCCATCTCACCATCATGCATGCATGCATCTCACCATCATGCATGCATGCATCTCACCATCATGCATGCATGCATCTCACCATCATGCATGCATGCATCTCACCATCATGCATGCATGCATCTCACCATCATGCATGCATGCATCTCACCATCATGCATGCATGCATCTCACCATCATGCATGCATGCATCTCACCATCATGCATGCATGCATCTCACCATCATGCATGCATGCATCTCACCATCATGCACGCATGCATCTCACCATCATGCATGCATGCATCTCACCATCATGCATGCATGCATCTCATCATCATGCATGCATGCATCTCATCATCATGCATGCATGCATCTCACCATCATGCATGCGTTGTCGATGATCAGCTCCTCATACTTCACATCGGGGTACTGCTCCGCCACCTCCCTGCAGCACTGCCGGGGGGCACAACGGACACGCACAAGAGGACAGTGGAGCGTGTGGGACGAGGAGTGTGAGAAAGATTTGGCGTGGGTGTGTGAGAGAGATAGAGACAAGATGTGTGTGTGAGGGCAAACGGAAATGACCGAAAGAGAGCCACAGGAAAGCAGTGGAACAGGGGGGGAGGAGGAGGGGGGTGGTGGGGGAAAAGTCGGCAGGAAAACCTCTCCAGCATGACTAGGAGAAAGCGGAGGAGGAAGAGGAAGAGGAAGAGGAAGAGGAAGAGGAACGTGGGAGCGCCTGCAGGAAGAGGAAGAGGGGCATGGCAGCGAGCCCTTACCTGCAGGAAGAGCCCTTACTTGCAGGAAGAGCCCTTACTTGCAGGAAGAGCCCTTACTCGCAGGAAGAGCCCTTACTCGCAGGAAGAGCCCTTGCTTGCAGGAAGAGCCCTTGCTTGCAGGAAGAGCCCTTGCTTGCAGGAAGAGCCCTTACCTGCAGGAAGAGCCCTTACTTGCAGGAAGAGCCCTTACCTGCAGGAAGTGGCCTACCTGCAGGAAGAGGCCTACCTGCAGGAAGAGGCATACCTGCAGGAAGAGCCCTTACCTGCAGGAAGAGGCCTACCTGCAGGAAGAGCCCTTACCTGCAGGAAGAGGCCTACCTGCAGGAAGAGCCCTTACCTGCAGGAAGAGGCCTACCTGCAGGAAGAGCTCCTACCTGCAGGAAGAGGCCTACCTGCAGGAAGAGACCTACCTGCAGGAAGAGGCCTACCTGCAGGAAGAGGCCTACCTGCAGGAAGAGCCCTTACCTGCAGGAAGAGCCCTTACCTGCAGGAAGAGGCCGTCGGACTTCTTCATGATGTTGGCCTTGTGGATGGCGGTGACGCGCTCCCTGCCGTGCTCCCGCGCGTACTTGAAGGCGTACTCCGCCACACGCATGCTGCCCGCGCGCGTGATCACCTTGAGCGACTCCACCACGCCCTTCACCACCTGCCGCCACGAGACGGCGCCCGGGAAGGGGGGGAGAGGGGACACAGCGGTATGACAGTAAGGAGTGCAATGATGTGACGGTAAGGAGTGCAATGATGTGACAGTAAGGAGTGCAATGATGTGACGGTAAGGAGTGCAATGATGTGACAGTAAGGAGTGCAATGATGTGACAGTAAGGAGTGCAATGATGTGACAGTAAGGAGTGCAATGATGTGACGGTAAGGAGTGCAATGATGTGACAGTAAGGAGCGCAGTGGGGTGCCAGTAAGGAGTGCAATGATGTGACAGTAAGGAGTGCAATGATGTGACAGTAAGGAGTGCAGTGGGGTGCCAGTAAGGAGTGCAGTGGGGTGCCAGTAAGGAGTGCAGTGGGGTGCCAGTAAGGAGTGCAATGGGGTGCCAGTAAGGAGTGCAGTGGGGTGCCAGTAAGGAGTGCAGTGGGGTGCCAGTAATGTGGGGTGATCGGGAGAATGTGAGGGGTTCGTCAATCCGCTGCATGTAGTCACCGAGACTGTTGTTGCTTTCAGCATAGACACGGGCATGGGGTATGGGGCATGGGGCATGGGGCATGGGCATGGGGCATGGGCATGGGCCCGGGCATGGGCATGGGCATGGGGCATGGGGCATGGGGCATGGGGCATGGGGCATGGGCATGGGCATGGGGCATGGGGCATGGGCATGGGCAAGGGGCATGGGGCATGGGGCATGGGCATGGGGCATGGGCATGGGGCATGGCGCATGGCGCATGGGGCATGGCGCGTGGGCATGGGCATGGGGCATGGGGCATGGGGCATGGGGCATGGGGCATGGGGCATGGTGCATGGGGCATGTGGCATGGGGCATGATGCATGATGCATGGGGCATGGGGCATGGAAGTGGCGTGCACCACCTACCAATCCCGTGCGTCCCTTCGCACCACTTCTTTTGTATGACCCCTCCGTTCCCCTCCATGCCTCTGCGCCCATACCATGCCTCTGCGCCCATCATACCATGCCTCTGCGCCCATCATACCATGCCTCTGCGCCCTTTTGTCTTCCCAGTCCTCTCGCGCCACTATGCCTGACCCTAACCCCATCACATTGCGCGCTACCCTTACGCCGCCTCAAACCTCTCCCTCTCACCTCTCCCTCTCGCCTCTCCCTCTCACCTCTCCCTCTCACCTCTCCCTCTCGCCTCTCCCCTCACCCCGCCCTCTGCTCCCCCTTCTCCTTAGAACCCCCTGCCAAGTAGTTAAACGGTAGGAAGGTTGGTTGGGTAGGAGGACGGGATTGCCTGTCAAGCAGCTTGCCTGGGGAACTCCCAACCAAAGGTGGGAAACTCGAGGCAGCTTTGGGGCATTTGGCAAGCGGGTTTTAAGCACCATCGTCCCTCTCCCCCAGCCCCCCACCCTCCTCCGCCCCCCTCCCCCTCGTCTCACCGTGTGTTCCAGCCCGCTGTATTCGCCCTCCGTGTTCTCGCGGATGGTGACGAGGTCCACGTCGTCGTAGCGCGTGCGGTACCCGGGGATGCTCTTGCACGGCCGCACGTTGGCGAACAGCCCCAGCTCCTTCCGCAGCGTGAGGTTGAGCGAGCGGAAGCCCTTGCCGATGGGCGTGGTCATGGGCCCCTTGAGCCCCACGCCGTTGCGCCGCACGGACTCCATGCTCTCCAGCGTCACGAAGCTCTGCGTGCGCGGGTCCACCGTCGCGCCGATCGTCTGCTCCTCCCACTCCACCGGCACGCCCGCCGCCGAAAACACCTGCGGGGAGACGAGGATCGGAGGGGGAGAAGGGGGGGGGGGGGGGGGGGAGGGTGGCTTCGTGGGTGGGAGGTCGAATAGATCGCTTTGGCTATCAACTTCGGATCTGCGCCGACCGACGCTATTTGACGGCCGGCAGGCACCTGTATGACGACCAGCAGGCACCTGTTTGACGGCGACGGCGATCTCGGGTCCGATGCCGTCGCCGGGGAAGAGCGTCACGACGCGGGTCTGCTCCTCCGAACTCGCCGCCGCCGCCATGCCCCGCCGCCACCCCCCCCGCGCCCACTCGCCCGCCGCGGCCGCCGTGCCTTGCGAGGGGCTCGCCGGGGTGTGCGCGGCGGATCCGACGGCTGCCGTGCTGTCGATCGCAGGGGCGAGGGACCCCATGGCTCGCGACAACGCCGCTGCGACGCCGGGGGAGCCGTTGACGACTCGTGCGATGCGCTTGATGGCGACTGAAGCCATGGCGGCCGCTGACGTGGATCGATGGATCGATGGGTCGATGCAAGATGGAGTTAATTAGTTTGCCTAACGGACGGGCGGATTCGATGGATCGACTCGGCGGAGGGGAATGGCGAGGAGCGGCGGTGGCGCGGATCGACAGACGGACGCAGGAAAGCGAGGATCTTGCGGGCAACGGCGGAGGGGGTCGGGACGCGGCTGGCGCAGGCGCTGTTGCGAGAAAGGCGGCGAGCGGCGAGCGGCGAGCGGCGATGAGCAATAAGGTGCGTGGTGGCGGTGGCTGGGATGGGCGTACAGGTGCTCGCACATTAGCATAATATGCTCACGCGGCTTTAGGGAGTGATGCTGCCCGTTCTCCCTCCATCCCACGGTATTCCGCGCATCAGCCTCGAACCCTTTGATCGCACAGGGCCCTCCCAGGAACCGCTGTGCGACAACAAGGTGGGGTCGGCTGCGACCAACATCGGACACGTGGTGAAGGCAGTGCACAACGATTCGCCCTCACATTTCGCCTCCAACTCTATTGACGAATGGGCGAGAGCCTCGATAAATGCACCCTCACGTGGCACAAGTACTGCTTACAGAAGAGCTGCATAAACACCCATCATCTGCGTGGAAACTAAATCGACTAATACAAAACAAGAACATTATCCATTAATCTAATGTTATGAAATATCCATACGTGGCCAAAGCTTGGTGTTTAAAAATCCGTTGATAACACAGCACAAAACGCTTCATTGCCTCGCTCTTCCATATCGGCTGCCGCGGTTCTGCCACAGCAATAAGAACCCATATGGAGATAAGGCACAATGAAGTCAAGGCAAGAAGAGCAGGGATATGTGTATTAGAACTCAGTCACTAACCACTGAGTTAAATGGTCTTTTTAAGTAGCGGGTGAATGCGCCCATAACCCCCTAGGCTCTACACCTGTAACCCTTCCCCGAGGACCACGGGCAACCCCAGCGTGTATCTTGACACCCCCCTCACTAGGATAGGCGGAAGACACAAGCGCATCTGCAGCACTGACACCTCTCCGGTGCACACTGGGAATTGAACCCGGTTCACCCAAGTCCAATACCATATCAGAACTCTGTCATTAACCACTGAGTTAAAATGACTTTTTAAGTAGTAGGTGAGTGCGCCCATAACCCCCCAGGCTCTGCACCTGTGACCCTTCCCCGAGGACCAAGGGCAACCCCAGCGTGTATCTTGACAATGTGCACCAGCACCAAAATAGCACATGGGTAGTGGGGCGACGAGGGATCTGCAGAGACAATAACTGATCTGATGGCACCTTGGTTGACTCACTTGTGACGGTGTAGAGCTAAAAGTACCCATGACTCCACCCACGCCTCTTCTCGCTCTCTTTCTCCGTGCCTTCTCCTCTTCCTCCTCCTCCTCCTCGTCCTCCTCTGCATCATCATGCCTCACATCCTTCTCCTCCGCCTCCTCCGCCTCGCTATCATCCCCGTTGCTCTGCACACTGGCCTCATGCGTCGCACCGCCTGCAACGCCCAGGCTGCTCCAACCCCCAACTGCTCTCCCCCTCCCTCTCCCCCTCCCCACACCCCCTGCAGCTGCTGCCGCCCCCCCTCTGCCTCGCCCCGTCCCGCACCCCTCCCCCGCCCCTGACCCTTTTCGCCCCCTCTTGGGCGAGGCAGCAGGGGCAGAGGGGCGCTGGGAGGACGCCCAGCCTGCTGATGCCTGGAGCAGAGGGGGGAGGGGATGATGTGTGGGAAGGCGCGCAGACATGTACATGGTTTTGGGGGGGGCAGTGGGGGGAGGGGGCGGGGAGGGCAGGGGGAGGAGGGCAGGGGGCACACAGTAAGAGAAAGGGAGCAACAGCCAGGCGGGGAATGGAAGGACAGCGCGGGGGTACAAACGGGCATGAGGCAAGGCGCACTGACCCTGGAGCCCAGCCCCATGGCCTCCTCGTCCTCCTCGTTCACTCCATCCACGTCCTGCCCCCCCTGTGCTACTGCTGTGCCATGCGCGCCAAACTCGTCATCCTCGATCTCCTCCTCCTCCTCCTCCTGCACCGCCGTGCTGCCCACACTTGCCGCTGCTCTTGGCGCTGCTGGCGGCCTGAATGCAGGGGGGTAAGGCAGGCAAGCACGGGAGTGAGTACATGGAGGCTCAGACCACGATGCTGATCACATGCACGAGGGGTTGCTAGCTCGTCCATGGGGTTAGCAACACATCCATGCTCTCTCGGCCATGGGGATGCTACCTCAGCCATGGGGATGCCCAACACGCACCCTCAACCACATGCCTCCCACCCGCTTGCTGTGCCTCGCACTTTACCTGCCCCTCAGTCCCATGCTGTCAAATGTCGCCTGCTTCATTCCCCTTCCCCCCGCTCCACCACTGCTGCTGCGCCCCCTCCCCCTCCCCCCTCTTCCCCCCCTCGCTATCTCCCCATCCCCACCTACCCCCTTTGCACTACCTCTCCCTCTCCCCCTCCCTCCCCGCCCCCTCCCCCTGCTGCCCTTGCTCCCCTGCGCCCACTCATCGTCATCCCCTTCCTTGTCCCCAAACGGCTCCCCCAGCTTGGACGCGTCCATGCTGCCACGCTGCATGTGCAGCGATGGGGGGCAGGGGGAGAAGCGGGCAGCAGGGAAAGAGCAGGGGAGAAGAGGGGCAGGGGGAGAAGCGGGCAGCAGGGAAAGAGCAGGGGAGAAGAGGGGCAGGGGGAGAAGAGGGGCAGGGGGAGAAGGGGGGCAGGGGGAGAAGGGGGGCAGGGGGAGAAGAGGGACAGGGGGAGAAGAGGGGCAGGGGGAGAAGGGGGCAGGGGGAGAAGAGGGGCAGGGGGAGAAGAGGGGCAGGGGGAGAAGGGGGGCAGGGGGAGAAGGGGGGCAGGGGGAGAAGAGGGGCAGGGGGAGAAGGGGGGCAGGGGGAGAAGAGGGGCAGGGTAACATGGAAAGGAATGTGATGGGAAGAGTGGCGTGAAATTAGAAGGAAGTGCTTCAGGGCATGGGTTACAGCGGTTGCACTGCACCAAGACATGAAGCCACAGATGTATCCAGTCATGCATGGTGTGAATGGACCCAACACCCTCTCCCCCCACTGCTCCATGCTCCAGCTTCCTCCACACTCCACCTGCCGCCATCTCTCATTGCATGCCATGCTTGAACCGTTTTTCAACAACCCCACGGCTGGACGCACATCATCCATGCGCGCTTCGCCGGGATCGGCGGCACCATCGGCACGCGCAGCAAGCGCTGCAGCATACGGCTTCTCCATGTCCTGCCACGGGGCGCAGTGCAGGGCGGGCGGGGGATGGAAGGGCGTGCAGGGCGGGTGGGGGATGGAAGGGCGTGCAGGGTGGGGGTTGGATGGTTGGAGCAGCAGTGGTTGCGAGGCAGTGGGGGAGGTAAAGATAGTGGCGGGTGACGGCAAGTCATGGATGGCTCATGCTTCTTCGCACCTGCAGCGACCGCGTGGCATGTATAAGCATTCTCAAACCCCTCTCACCCTACCTCTGAAGCACGCGTTGCTCTCACCCCTCTCCCTCCAAGCAGCAGCAGCACCCTGAGTAGCCTCCCCCTCACCTGCAGCAGCACCCTGAGTGGCCCCGCCCTCACCCGGAGCACGCGCTGCCCTCACCTGCAGCACGCGCTGCCCTCACCTGCAGCACGCACTGCCCCTGCCCTCACCTGCAGCACGCACTGCCCCTGCCCTCACCTGCAGCACGCGCTGCCCTCACCTGCAGCACGCGCTGCCCTCACCTGCAGCACGCGCTGCCCTCACCTGCAGCACGCGCTGCCCTCACCTGCAGCACGCGCTGCCCTCACCTGCAGCACGCGCTGCCCTCACCTGCAGCACGCGCTGCCCTCACCTGCAGCACGCGCTGCCCTCACTTGCAGCACGCACTGCCCTCACTTGCAGCACGCGCTGCCCTCACCTGCAGTAGCGCTGCCCTCACCTGCAGCACGCGCTGCTCCACGACTCTGAGGATGTCCTGGTCGTCCCTCAGCCCCGCGCCCTCGCCCCCCTGCAGCAGCCGCGCCTGCCGTCATGCAGTCCGGGGGGGGGATGGCACGCAGGGAGGAGGTGAGAGGGAGGAAAGGGAGAGAACCAAGTGAGAGAAGGAATGAGAGAGTTCGCAGGGACAGACGAGGATAGGAAGGAAGAGAGAATGGGAGAAGCGGGAAGTCGAAGAGGGCAAGGGGAGGAGGGGGAGAAGACGTGAAAGAGAGGAGGAGAGCAGAGCGACATGCGTGTGCGCGGGGGCAGGCAGGCGTGTTGACCTGCGTGTCGGCGAGGGAGGCGGAGAGGAAGGCGTTGAAGGCGTGCTTGTCGTCCTTGCTCACAAACTCGTGCAGCGCCACCGACAGCCCCTCCAGCGACAGCACCTCCAGACGCTACCAGGGGAGAGGGAGAAGGGCACAGTGACGGGAGGGGAAGCAGCGCAGGGCGATGGAGAGGAACCAGCGGGAAACCACTCAGGGTGGTGGCAAACCAGTGGGAAACCATTCAATGTGGTGGCAAATCACTGGAAAAGAAAACCACTCAGTGTGGTTGCAAACCAGTGGGAAACCACTCAGTGTGGTTGCAAACCAGTGGGAAACCACTCAGTGTGGTTGCAAACCAGTGGGAAACCACTCAGTGTGGTTGCAAACCAGTGGAAAACCACTCAGGGTGGTATCAAACCAGTGCGAAACCACTCAGATTAGTGGCAAACCACGGGGAAATCGCTCAGAGTCATGGCGAACACCCGGAAACCACCCTTTATCACCCTCCATCAACCTCCATCAACATCCATCACCCTCCATCAACCTCCATCAACCTCCATCACCCTCCACCACTGGGAAACCACTCAGTGTGGTGGGAAACCAGTGGGATACCACTCAGGGTGGTGGCAAACTAGTGGAAAACCATTCAATGTGGTGGCAAACCAGTGGGAAACCACTCGGGGTAGTGGCAAACCACTGGGAAAACACCAGGGGTGGTGGCGAGCATTACTCGAGGCGAGTTATCTTCTCAAATTCTCGCCGCGTTAACTCGTTTACTAATACGATTACTATTACTCGGGGCGAGTAATGCCTGGCCCCTCTGTCGACATGTTAGTACCCGCCCTCGCTGGTAAAAGATTGACGCGAGAAGAAAAATTACTTGCAAACAAGCAATGTATTACTCACCCCGGGCAGGCGAGTAATCGTCGAGCTCTCGTATACGAGTTTCCTCGCCTCGCCTCGGGGAGAGTAATTTATTTGGCGGCACACCTAGTTTTCTCGGAAACCCGAGGCGAGGAATTGAGGCGTGAAGCACCAACCACATGACCCCATCCCTCCCCGTGTGGCCCCACCCACCACCCACCACGTAGCCCCATGACCCACCACATCACCCACCACATGGCTGTCCCGCAGCAGCTGCTCGATGTTGCTCTGGTTCAGCTCGTCCGGCTGCACCGCCCGCTCGTCACCCACCTCCATGGCGCCTGGCGCGGGCACAAGGGGAGCATGGGGGTATCAGTGGTGTGGATGCTCCATGGATAAAGAAGCTCTATGGATGTCCAGCAAAGGCAGCACACGAGCAGTTGGCCTCTCGCCTACGTGCACCTTTCTTTCTGCAGCTATCCCCCACCTATATCCACCCCTACTGTCCCCCCCAAACTCACTGCCCGCCACTCACTGCCACTCACTGCCACTCACTGCCCGCCACTCACTGCCCGCCACTCACCGGGAGTGTCTCGCTTCTTGGGCGCCTTGAAGAACATGAGCATGTCGTGGGGGTTGGCCACCTGCACACACACATGCACGCATGTGGATGTGCACACACGCATGAATGAACACAAGCACGCATGCACACATGCAGACATGTCATGCCCCATGCCCATGCTCCATGCCCATGCCTATGCCCATTCTCATGCCCTATGCCCATGCCCCATGCCCATGCCCATGCCCATGCCCATGCCCATGCCCATGCCCATGCCCATGCTCATGCCCATGCCCATGCTCATGCCCATGCCCATGCCCGGTGGACGCCATCCACCGTCCACCGTCCACCGTCCACTGTCCCCCGTCCACCGTCCACCATCCACCGGTGGACGCCGTCCACCGTCCACCAGTGGACGCCGTCTACCGTCCACCGTCCACCGATGGACGCTGTCCAGCGTCCACCGTCCACCATCAACCGTCCACCGTACACCGTACACCATCCACCGGTGGACGACGTCCACCGTCCACCATCCACCGTCCACCATCTGCCGTCCACCGGTGGACGCCGTCCACCGTCTACCGCCCACCGTCCACCGTACACCGTCCACCGGTGGACGCCGTCCGCCGTCCACCGTCCACTGGTGGGCGCCGTCCACCGTCTACCGTCCACCGTCCACTGTCCACCGGTGGACGCCGTCCACCATCCACCATCCACCGTCCACCGTCCACCGTTCACCAGTGGACGCTGCACATGCCTTGCACATGCCCTCGCCCCTCTCACCTCGCCCCTCTCACCTCGCCCCTCGCCCCACGGCCTCACCTTGCCCACAAACTGCTGCCCAAAGCGCTGCGAGTTGATGGTGGAGAAACCCGTGTAGTCCACCTGGGGGGGGGGGGGGGGAAGAGGGGGGGGAAGACGGACAAGGGGGAGGGTGGAGGGGGATGCCGGGGAGGGGAGAGAGAAGTGAGGCAAGAAGGGAGCGGAGCAGGAAGCTGGGGGATATGGGGAAGCGGACAAGGAGCATCAAAACCGTAGGGGCAGAGCATTGATAATTTTACGAAGTGGCGTTGGCATGGCGTGGAGGGCATGCACAGCCAAGTCGTGACAGGATGGCCTCACAAGCATGCGCGCACACACACACGCTCACAGGGTGTGAGCATGGGGGGGCACCAAGCACTCGTGTTCACGAGCCATGCACGCACTGCACTGCACTCTTATCCGTGGTCCCTTCCCCCTCACAAGCAGCAATTCCCATCGCTTTCGCCCTCACACGCCGGAACCAAGTGAGTGACTCACCCGAATCCGCACGAGGGGAAGCGGAACCGGCCCCTCTCTGCCCCTGCCACCGCCACTGCCACTCCCCCCTGCCACCCCAGCCCCACCCGCCTGCCCCTCCACCGTGTGCTGCGCGCACCTCTCCCGGTACTGCCGCTCCGCCGCCGCTATCATCTCGTGCACCTGCCATGTGTGGGGGCGGATGCATTGAGGGTGGGGGATGCATCGATGTGCATAGCTGTAAGATGCACAAGTTGGAGATGGTAACGATAGGTTCTAAGAGGAGCCCTAGAAAGTGTAAGAGAAAGTAGTGAATAGAGCTGACGAATACAATGGGCTAAGTAGGCCTAGATTGTGAAGAAGAGAGAGATGGAGACGTGCTGGGCGACTTGGGCTGGTCCAGGTGAGGAGAATGGCACCCAAGAGACATGGGGTGCTCAAATGGGTGCTCAAGTCGCCCACAGTCAAGGTGAAGACGTGAGGAACCCTCAAAGTGGGCCTAGAAACGCCCCCACTAGTGGAACCACGATTCCAGAAGTTGGATTCGTGGTTCCAGAAGCTGGAGCCGCGTTTTCATGGTTGCGAAACGTGGGTCCAGGTTGGAGCCGTGTCCCAAATGTTGGGATGCGTGGTGAGGTACCCCACTTCGGATTTTGGGGTGCCTGGCCCTTGGTAAAATTTCTTGGGGACACCCTATTCCTAATATAACCCAACCCCTAATGTCTACACCTAATATAATGTAAAACATTACACATAACTGAGAAATATACTAAGTTAACTACATCCCAGGTAAAAGCCCCAAAAAGAAACTCAACAACAGATGCATTGAGGGTGGGGGATGCATCAAGAGTGGGGGATGCATCGAGAGTGGGGGATGCATCGAGAGTGGGGCGGCAGGAAGAAGACAAAGGAAAGGTGGCAGTGCTTCTGCGCAGGAGCCTTTGCTGTCGGGCCTGGCCCGCCCTCCCGCACAGGAGGGGTGACTTGATGAAAGGGTGCGTGATGGTGAGATCGTGACAGGAGTTGGTGCGAGAGGCAAGAGGGTGAGCGACGCCAGGAGAGGGTTACAAAAGCGCAAGAGAGGCTTCAAGTTCATTCTTGACAGGAAAAAACCTGGGTTTAGGATACCAAGGCACGAAAAGCTCTAAGAAGGGGCGCATTGCTCTGGGAAGAGGCGGATTGCCCTGGGAAGAGGCGATTTTCCCTGGGAAGGGGCGAATCTGCCCTGGGGAAGGGACGATTTGCCCTGGGAAGAGGCGATTTGCCCTGAGAAGAGGTGATTTGCCCTGAGAAGGGGCGATTTGCCCCAGACCCAAATTTGCTCTCTTCTCCTTACCCTTCGTTTCCCCGTTTTGTCAATCTGCAATCGCCTCACTCCCCTACCTGTTCCTTCTGCCTGCCCCCCTGCCTCTGACTCCGGCCGCCAGGCAAACGCTCTGACCGCCAGGCAGTGAGTGAGTGAGTGCCTGCCCCCCTCCGCCCCCCCTCCGCCCCCCACACCTTGGCTGCGAGGAAGAGCGAGAGCGCCTCAGGGTCGCTGGGGTTGACGCCCTCCGCCTCCCGCAGACACAGCTGCCACGCACGGGGGGGAGGAAGGGGGGCGCAGGAAGGTGAGGGAGGGCATATGCTGAAAGGAAGGAAGCACGAGGGAGGGGAAGGGACGAGTGGGGCAAGCCTGAGAGAGCTTGGTGGCAGCGGACACGGGACGGATGCCGGTGGAGAGTGGGTGGAGCAGTGGGTGGAGCAGTGGGTGGAGCAGTGGGTGGAGCAGTGGGTGAATGGCGCAAAACAACCAAGGCAGGGCATGCAATGCAATGGACACAAACGGGCGATAGAAACTAACATGCTGCTAGCGAGGGTGGAAGATGAGGCATGGTCGAATGAGCATGCGCGCAATGAGAATGATGCACGCAATAAGAACGATGCACGCTGGTGGAGGGGGTCCATGCGAATGAAGGGGGCAGTGGCATGAGTGCAGCGCACCTCAGCGTATTGGAAGGGGCGTGGTGTGGTGAGGGCGATGTTGTGCGACTCAAACTGGTTGCCCTGTCGTGGCATGGCGGCATGGTGGCGTGGTGGTGGCGTGGTGGCGTGGTGGTGGCGTGGTGGCGTGGTGGCAATGTAACCCCGGGGAGAGAGGGTGAGCGGACAAAGAGGAAAGGGGAGGAGGGCGAGAAGCATGAGAGGAGAGGTGTGAGAGGAAGAAGGCTAGAGACATGAAGGATGAGCTCGCTGCCACCAGTCTGTACGCACCTGCACTCATCCCTCTTGCTTGCAGTCTATCCACCTGCATTCACCGCACCCACATTCACCCCACCCAGATTCATTGCACCTGGACGCGCAGGAAGAGCACTTGCTTGGGTCTGGCCTCGCCCTCGCACAGCTGTGTGACCACCGACGACCCCGGCTGCGTTACATAGTACTTGGCCGGCTCGGGCTTCTGCTCCCGGGCCAGGGGGGGAAGAGGGGGGGGGAGGGGGGCGGATGACCGTGAAATGGCGGGGCTGATATCAAGGCTCTCTGATATCAAGCCTCTCTTGCTTCTCACTCTCACCTGCCCTGCTCTCACTGCTCTCCCTCTCTGACGACTTTCAACAGAGGACGCTGCCCCACCCCAACCACTGCACTGCACCCATCCACCCATTTCTCCTCCTGCACAGCATTGCCGCGCCCTCCCTCTCACGCACCTGGCCCTCCGCGAGGCACGCACCGTGGGGTGGATGAGGCACTCGTGCTCGTGGCCCCACACGATGAGGTCCAGGAATGATGCGAACTTGGTCTGGTCCACCGTCACCACCTTCTTCGCCCCCGTCATGCGCACGTTCCTTGGGGGTAAGACACAGGGGGGGGGAGTTGGGGGGGGGGGGGGGGTAGGGGAGGGGGAGGAAGACGCGAACTTGGTCTGATCCTCCAGGGCCACCTTCTTGGTGCCTGTCATGCGCACGATCCTGGGAAAGGGGGGGTGTTGGGGGGGGGGGGATTGGCGAGGAGGGAGGAAGAGGAATGGAGGACTAAGAGAAGCGGGTTGGAGGAAGATGACAACCAGCCTTACCTGAGGGAATTGCTCCTTTAATAAAGGTGCATTCCTAACGATCACATTTGCACTTTCAATACGTGCTCCGTACAGATTATGTGCTCTGTTGCAACCACCTGCTCTGTTGCAACCACCTGCTGTACTGCAACCACCTGCTGTACTTCAACCACCTGCTGTACTGCAACCACCTGCTGTACTGCAACAACCTGCTCTGCTGCAATCACCTGCTCTGCTGCAATCACCTGTTATGGTGCAATCACCTGCTCTGTTGCAATTACCTGTTCTGGTGCCATCACCTGCTATGGTGCAATCACCTGCTCTGTTGCAATTACCTGTTCTGGTGCAATCACCTGCTCTGTTGCAATCACCTGCTCTATTGCAATCACCTGTACTGTGGCAGTCACCTGTTCTGGTGCACCACCAGGATGTTGAACCAGTCATCCTCCGACAACCCAGGCTCGTGCGGTCGGATCCACTGCAGCCCGTGCGGGTTCTGAGGCAGGTGCAATGCAGGGGAGGGAGAAGAGGGTCGGGGGAGGAGAGAGGGAGAGGAGGGAGAGAGAGGTGAGGCAGAGGAGAGGTGGGGGAAGGTGGAGAAGGGAAAGGTGCAGAGAAAAGCCGGGAAGTGGGTTGGATCGAAACAGGTCCGTCAGCCCTAGTACTAGCTGAAACCCCCACCCCTATGCTAATCCTTGACCCTCCCCTCCACGGTCCACTGCCCGTCCCCCCCCCCCCTTTTCCTCACATCCATGATCATCTTGAGGCGCTCGTCTCGCATGTACCCCAGCCCGTACAGCGCTATCCTGTTGGCGCCCTGGGGGAGGGGTGGGGGAGAAGGGAGGAGAGGGGGAAGGGAGAGGGGCGTGAGGTGAGCACGGGGAGGTGGATACGGAAAGGGGAGGAAGTGGGAGATAATTGGTTTGTGAGCGGCCATTGGTAGGCTCAGTTGAAACCAGAGGGCTCTGTCAAGGGCTCAAGCAGTGTGTGTGCAGCGCAGCACGGCATGTGAGGAGAACAGCGGCATGTCCGCAGCTCGCCACATGCCCGCCTCACCTTGCGCAGCAGCACGGGGTGCAGGGTGATCTGCGCCGTCTCATCAGCGGGCATGCCCGTCTTGCCGAAGTAGTTCACCAGGTTGCATGACGACAGGATGTCCACCGCCGACAGGTTGTCCTGGGGAGGGGGGGAAGAGGGGGGGTTTGAGACGTCTCAAAGCTAAACTACTTGACCACGACGACAGGATGTCCACCGTCGACAGGTTGTCCTGGTGAGGGGGGGGGGAAGGGGACGGGGGGGGGGAGGGGAGGCATAAAGGACAGCATACGAACAACAGAAGGAGACAGACGGTGGTAAGCGACAGAGCAGGATAGGGAGAATTGGATCGGTGCAGTGAAAATCCACAGCTGAATGCATGTTCTGCTACTTGTATCCACCCTCCACCAAAACGTTCTCTTTTCTTTTGAAAGTTCCCTGCTCATTGCGCATCCATGCTCCCTCGGTCCCTGTCAACACGCCACCCGTGCCACGCCACCAGTGCCACGCCACCCGTGCCACGTCACCGACCCCAACGTCAGGCCCTCTTCCCAGGGCCCTGTGGTGCGCGCGTGTGTCTCACCACGCCCATGGGGTCGCCGCAGTATGCTCATTTCTCAATCATGCTCCGACATGCCATATCATCACACCATCAATGCCACATCAGCAACTCAAGCAACTCCCATCCCATCGTGCCCTGCAGTGCAGGCGTCTGATGAAGACCCTCACCACGCCCGTGTGCCTCACCACGCCAGCGGGGTCGTCGTGGTTGCCGTGCACAGTGAAGACGGGCATGCCCACGTTGTAGTGCTCGTCCTCGTAGTTCACATGCCCGAACCTGCACACGTGGATCGGCAGCCATGGCAGCACAGGCACACGCGCGCAGCCAAAGCAGCAGATTGATTGCAGCGGGTGTGAGTCGTGTGAGAAGACAGTTGCAAGAGATGATAGGCGAGGTGCAAGAGGGTGAGAGCGCGAGCTCACAACAAAGCGGTGAGAAGGGGTCTGAAAACGAAGATGCGAGGAGGGAGGCGGGTATGGGGGCGGGTATGGGGGCGGGTATGGGGGCGGGTATGGGGGAGGGTATGGGGGAGGGTGTGGGCGCGAACGAGTTGGGGAAGTTGAGCGTTTGGTCGCTGACGACTTGGAAGTTGACGGGGTTGTCACTGAGGCAGTAGCGCCGCAGAATGTCGATGGTCCGCACTAGGGTGGCGCGCGACGGCTTGTTGTCGTGGAAGAGATCGCCGCCCAAAAGGAGGAAATCCACCTGCAAGCCAGATGCACACACACACACATGCACGCGCGCGCACGAGCACACAGCGACAACATGCAAGGGTAATGCAAGTCGAATCACGGCACCAGGAAAGAGCAAGCGCGACCTCATTGAAGGCAAGCGCACCCCGTGGCAGGTCAAATCCATGCCGGAGCGCAGCGAGTACAGAAAATGAAATGGAGATTATGTACCTCTACCATCTAATGCTACCGTCACACCTCCACCCCCCCTGCCCACCGCCCCCCCCACCTGCAGCGACTGCGCGAGCTTGCAGATCTCCTCGAAGGCGGCGAAGGAGTCGTCCCTACGGATCTCGTCCTTCTCCATGAAGCCTAGATGGTTGTCCGTCGCCACCAGGATGCTGAACGCCGACTCCTCGCCGCTGCTGGGGGATGTGGACGCATGGGGTTCGGATGCAGGGGGTGCGGAGGAGAAAGGATTGACGGATGAAGTTGCGTGGCTTGTTCTCAGTGCCACGCACACGACCGATGCAGCCTTGAACGCCAGGACGGCCGGCGCGTGGCTCTATAATCGGCAATAGGGCTGGCATCGATGGGGATGATCCACGGCCAGCACGGCATCGCTGGGGATGATCCACGACCAGCACGGCATTGCTGGGGATGATCCACGGCCAGCACGGCATCGCTGGGGATGATCCACGGCCAGCACGGCCAGCGGTAGTAACAACGCAGATCGTGACGTCACGGTCGAGCCTCGCGCTCAAAAGCAGGCACGCATCGACATGGTGGTAGCTGCGCGAGTCAACTCACCCGGGTCCCTGGGTGTACTGCGACATGGCTGGTGAACGTCGGAGGAATCCCTGGTCGGAACGGAATCCCTGCTGAGCAAATCTACGGCAGGTGATTCTGTCGACGAGGCAAACGCAGTCACTCGCTCAACGGAATTTCATCAGAGGAGGCCACACCAGCGGCGACGGTCGCACTGCATCAACGCTCCGAGCTGCTGCGAGGAAATGACGATCGCGAGGCCTACAGATTCCGAAAATCACAAGGTCACCATCCTGACAGAGGAGCGGCAGGAGGCAGCACGCACACTGCCAACACTCGAGGGAAGCTGGGCGAGCAAATCCCCATGGATTCCTTTGGGGAAAGGAAGCCAGTGTCACCATGGAGTTGTCGTCACCATGAAGTTGCCGCGGGGAATCTGAGTTCACATGCGTGATTAGATTAAATAGACGAATAGACGTAAGGTCAATTACTACACCTGTATAATGCGTGTAGGGAAATGACGAAAGTGTTACAGTTCCCGTGAGGTTGCGAATCAGGAGTCGTCGCAAATTGGTTTGGGCGTCACCTGATTGGACATTGTCCAAATGTCCTCTATCGATTCGCCATCTTCAGCCGCCTGTTCTTGCGGCCCGTAAAACCGCAACCCACTGGCACTTAGCCACTCGCACGCAACTCCCGAGCCAAAAGGTTGAACCTGACGCGTAAAACCACCACCTAGAATGCCTCACCCTAGGCACTGAATTGTGCTGGGGCGATCCAGGATAGGAGAGGAGAGCCGAGTCCTTGGTGCCAAGGCATATATAGCCCCGAGCAACAGCTTCACCCAGATTTCGGTACAAAAGCAGGCGGATTTCGATTTCCGTATCAGTGCACCTTCCCTGGAGCCGCTTCTCCCCCCACGCCAGCTGCGCGTCGCTCTAGTCTCTCTCGCGCCATGGCCGCCACCGGCTCCCTTCTCTCGCGCCCCCTCGCCGCCTTCCTCGCATCCGCCGCCTCCCCCTCCGCATCCTCACTCGCCTTCGCCGGCAAGCCTCTGCCCGTTCCGCCCCTTATGCGTCCGTCCGCCTCCCCCGATCCCCTCCCCGCACGCTCGCTCCGCTGCGAGGCCAGACCCACCAGCGCCGCCACCGCTGCCTCCGCCCCGGCCGCTGCGCAGCGCGCGGTAGCGGCGGCGGCGGGGATGCCGTCAGCAGAGGAGATCATGGCTATCGAGCGCGACGTGGTCGTGCAAACGTACGGGCGGACGCCGCTGGTGGTGGCGGCGGGGGAGGGCAGCCGGCTGTACGACACGGAGGGGCGCGAGTTCATCGACATGGCGTCGGGCATCGCCGTCAACGCGCTGGGCCACGGCGACGCTGACTGGCTCGCCGCCGTCACGGATCAGGCCGCCACGCTGGCACACGTCAGCAACTTGTATTACACGTGGCCGATGGTGCATCTGGCGCAGCGGCTGGTGACGTCATCGTTCGCGGATCGCGTGTTCTTCGTGAATACGGGCACGGAGGCGAACGAGGCAGCGATCAAGTTCGCGAGGAAGTACCAGCTCGCGAAGAGCGGCGACGAGCATGCGACGGAGTTCGTCGCATTCAGCAACTGCTTCCATGGTCGCACGATGGGCGCGCTCGCGCTCACCTCCAAGCCGCAGTACCGCGCGCCCTTCGAGCCGCTCATGCCCGGCGTCGCGTTCGCCGAGTACGGCGACCTCGAGGCGGCGGCGGCCGCCATCCGCGCGGGGCGCACGGCGGCGGTGTTCGTGGAGCCGGTGCAGGGCGAGGGCGGCGTGTTCGCCGCCACCCGGGAGTTCCTGCAGGGCCTGCGACGCCTGTGCGACGAGAGCGGCGCGCTGCTGGTCTTCGACGAGGTGCGGGGCGAAGGGGGGGGGGAAGGGGGGGGTGGGATGAAGTGAGGTGCAATGGGGATGGGGTGAGGAGGGTGGGGAGGGAAGGAGGTGATGGCGCTGTTGTGAGATGGACTGCAAGAGAAAGAAAAGGGGAAAGGGGGTTGTGAGTGAAGGAGAGCGATGCTGGGGTCACATGGTGAAGGAGGAATGGTTGGCACGGGGAAGAGAGGGTCGCCACTTTGCAACGGGGCAATGTCCAGTCTTCTTCGGGGCTCCGGTCCCTCCCTCGCTCTCGCCCTGCTCATCTGCCTGCCTGCCTGTCTGCCTTGCCTCAATTCCTGCCTTTTCTTCTCTCCTCTCCATCTGCTCCTTACCCCACTCTCACGTACCCACCTCTCCCAACTCCCTCCCTCCCGATTTCCCTCATCTCTCATCCCCTCTGCATCATCCTGACCCTCCCCCTTCCACTTCCCCCTCTCTCCCCTCCCCTCCCTCACCATCTCTCCCCCTCCTCTTTCCCCCCTCAGATCCAGTGTGGCTTGGGTCGCACGGGGCACCTGTGGGCGCACGAGGCGTACGGCGTCACACCCGACATCATGACGCTCGCCAAGCCGCTCGCTGGTATGACAAGGCAGGCCGTGCCCACTGGGGGGCGCATGCCATGCCATGGCCCCGTATGCATCACCCCACTGCCCTCCCACGCTTTCCTTCTTTGACTTCTGCGTTGGGCTTCATGCCCCGTCCCTCCACCCTCCCTCCCTCCTCTCTGCTCTCATCACCCCTCTCCTCATCACCCCTTCCCCAACCTCCCCTCCCTCCCATCACCCCACCCTCTCCCCCGTCCCCCAGGCGGGCTGCCCATCGGAGCGGTGCTTGTGACCAACCCTGTGGCGGCAGCCATGGCACCAGGCGACCACGGCAGCACCTTTGCCGGCAACCCCCTCGTCTGCCGGGCGGCGCTGGCCGTCCTCGATAAGATTGCCGACCCAGCCTTCCTGGCCAACGTGGAAACCAAGGGCGAACTGCTTCGGAAGCTGCTTCGGGAGAGGCTCGGGGGAAACCCGCACGTGAAGGAGGTTCGGGGGCGGGGGCTGATGGTGGGGGTGCAGCTGGACGGGGGGGCGGGGCCGCTGGTGGAGGCAGCGAGGGGGGAGGGCGTGCTGGCCATCACAGCAGGCAAGGGCGATGTGGTGCGGCTGGTGCCGCCCCTTATTATCACGGAGGAGGAGATTGAGAGGGCCGTTGATGGGCTCGCTAAGAGCCTACCAGCCCTTGGATGAGAGGGGTGTGCTGTAACATTGAGCCACCCGCATGACCACATGAGTGGTTTTCATGTGCTGGTAACATTTGTTTGTACTCACATCTAGGATGGATGACATCTCGTAACAAGCATGAGTTCCCTCCACCAGTGAGGCTTGGATGACCAAACCTTAAAACCCGCGGCCCAAATTGTTCATACGCACTGCGTATGAACTGTGTCTCAGAAACTTAGGAGGCTAGGTCCCTAAAGTTAGGACACTAGCTTAGCTAGGATACTAGGAAGGCCGCCATGGAATGCCGTGAGGAAAGTCGATCTAGGAGTGTGAGGAGAAAAGTTGACGAGAAAGAAGGGATAGGATTAGGAAGAGAGAGCAGTACAAGGAGGGGATTGTACCCTCTACAGAAAGGTTCAGTAACAACCTACCAAGCCTATATTAAATTATAACTTATATAATTTTAACACTGTGAGCCTCGGCCTGGACGAAATACGCAGAAAAATCATGAGGGTGTTTTATCTCGCGAATCCGCAATTTGTTGTAGATCGTCCGATTTGCAAGCCGGCAGTGGGACGGGTGAGATGTCAAACATAGCTTATGCAGGTACTGTAGACTATATATGTTTGTGCCTTAGTGGGTACAACACTCTAGACTATATTGCCTTGTATCTCACCACTTTAGTCATTAATTCTTTCTGTTATGGTATCATAGTAAGTTAGGTTCCCCCCTTGCCCGCCCACGCTTCCGCCCCCTAGGCCCTAGCCGCCCCCTTGGCCATCGCGCTTGTCCCTAGCCGGCCCCCTGGCCGTCGCGTCCGCCCCTAGCCGGCCCCCTGGCCGTCGCGTCCGCCCCTAGCCGCCCCCTTGACCGTCGCGCCCGTCCCTACCAGGCCCCCTGGCCGTCGCGCTCGTCCCTAGCCGGCCCCCTGGCCGTCGCGTCCGCCCCTAGACGCCCCCCTGGCCGTCGCATCCGCCCCTAGCCGGCCCCCTGGCCGTCGCGTCTGCCCCTAGCCGGCCCCCTGGCCGTCGCGCCCGTCCTTAGCCGCCCCCCTGGCCGTCGCGCTCGTCCCTACCAGGCCCCCTGGCCGTCGCGCTCGTCCCTAGCCGACCCCTTGGCCGTCGCGTCCGCCCCTAGTCGGCCCCTTGGCCGTCGCGCCCGTCCATAGCCGGCCCCCTGGCCGTCGCGCTCGTCCCTAGCTGGCCCCCTGGCCGTCGCACTCGTCCCTAGCCGGCCCCCTGGCCGTCGGGCTCGTTCCTAGCCGGCCCCCTGGCCGTCGCGTCCGCCCCTAGCCGGCCCCCTGGCCGTCGCGTCCGCCCCTAGCCGCCCCCCTGGCCGTCGGGTCCGTCCCTAGCCGGCCCCCTGGCCATCGCGCCCGTCCCTAGCCGCCCCCCTGGCCGTCGCGTCCGCCCCTAGCCGGCCCCCTGGCCGTCACGTCCGCCCCTAGCCGGCCCCCTGGCCGTCGTGCCTGTCTCTAGCCGGCCCCCTGCCCGTCGCGGCCGCCCCTAGCTGCTGTTGCTGCCGTTTTCAGCCGCCTCACGGTCTCTCCTGCCGTCGCGGCCGCCCGTAGCCGCCGTCGCGGCTGTCCCTGGCCACCGTCGCGGCCGTGTCTCCTCGCCGTCGCGCCAGCTTCTCGCCAGCCCCCGTTGCCGCCGTTTGCTGGCCCCTCGCGTCAGCCGTCCGCCGGCCGGCTCCTGCATTCGCGTCGTTGCCAGCCCGCCGCCGGCTCGGGTTCGGCCCGTTCTTCCCGATCAGCACCGCCCTGCGAACACCCCCCCCCCCCCGGTACCGTACTCAACCGCACTACACCGCACTGTACCGCACTGCACCGCACTGTACTGCCCTCTATTGTCACTGATGGCGGAGGTGCTTCGCTTTGACGCTGAGGGCTAGCCGATTGAGTTTGATGCATGGCTTGCTGACCTTCGTCGCCACCTTACTGGTCAGCGGCAGGATGGCCACTCTCTGTCTGTCCATCTTGACGGTACCCTTCGTTGCCTCGACCCCCCCGCTGCACTGTCTCCTGACCCCTCGTCCGCTGAGCGTGAGTCCGCTGCGGCCGCTGCCCTTGCTCGCTTTGTCTGGCTGTCCCGTGACGCTATCGCACAGCTTGCTATTAGTAATGCCCTCCCCCTATCCGAGAGACCTTGCTTCAGGTCTATCACCACTGCCCAGGCTTTCCTAGATGCTGTTGTCCAGCGCTATTCCACCCCGCCTGCTGCCTCGATAGGTCGCCTGATCCTCCACATGCTCTTCCCTGACCTTGCGTCGTCCCCCACTGTCGCTGACCTGGCCGCCCACCTGCGCACTATAGACGAGACCTGGCGCACTGCCTGCACTGACACACAGCTTCGCGCTCACCAGCCGTCCCTCTGCACTGCTCTCTACCTGCTGGCCACCCGTCTTCCTGACCGCCTTGCCACTGCCCGCAACCGCTTCCTTAGCGTCCACCCCGGAGACCTCACCCTCACTGACTTTGTTGACACCCGTTATAGAGGCCCGCCACTGCTCTATTGCCCACGCCAGCGGTACTGTGCCGGTCCCTAATTTTCAGGGTTGCGCCCCCGCTCAGTGCACCTTCTCCGACGGCTCTGCTGCTGTGGCTGAGACTGCTGCTGCAGCACAGGTCCGTCCGGGGAAGGGTCGCCGCCCAAGGCGGGGCGTGACGGCGGGGGTGGGGGTGCAGGTGTAGGTGGTGCGGGAGCTGGGTCCCCTGGTTGTGGTGCGGACGAGGGGACCCTGACAGGTGCAGCCGAGCAGCCGTCTCAGCAGCTGCCGGTGTTGCCGCCGAACCCGCGTCAGCCATAGCAACAGCAGTCGCAGCAGCAGCCGAGACGGGCGAGTGGTCTCCTGCCCGGGTGGCCTGGCGCTGGTGGTAGCGCTGGACGTGGTGGTGGTGCGCGTGGTGGGCTGCCGGGTGGTGGTTCGGGTCCTGCGCGCTGTTAGTACCTGCTCCAGACCGGTCCTCGTCGTGGCTTCGTTTGCGGTAAGATTGGCCACACCTCCGACCGCTGTTTCCGTCGCCTGGATGACCTGTTTCATCAGCGCTTCGGCCCGTCGCGCGAGCTCCCAGACTGGCACAGCTTGCTTCATCGTAGGGTTCAGATTTTTGATCTGGCTCTGGATGACATTGTTACTGCTCTGCATATGATGTATGCTGATGACTCTAGTGTGCTTCCGTCTTATTACCCCTTGTTGCCTAGTGTAGGCGTTCCTTGCTTAGACTCCCCTGCTGCGTCAGGCGTAGGATCCCCCGCTTTATTTAGCCTTGGTGCATCTGTCGCTGCTTCGCCTCCGGCCGCCACTGCCGCGCTCTCCTTCACCCTCGACTCTGGCGCTTCCCGGTGCTTCTTCCGCGACTCTACCACGTTGACACCGCTCCCTGTCCCTGCCGCAGTCTCTCTTGTTGACCCCTCCTCCGACCCCGTAGTTGCCCGCAGTTCCACCACCCTCCCCTGCCCGGCGGTTCCGTCGGGCTCGCTCACAGGTCTGCACATCCCCTCGTTCTCCAGGAACCTAGTTGGTGTCGGCTTCCTTCAGAACCTTGGCGTCACCACTACGTTCTTTGGACACGAGCCGTACGCTGTCTGTACCGAGGCCGCCACTGTTGCCCCCTTGTCCACATTCCCACGGGACCCGGTGTCCGGTCTTTTCACACTGGACACGGTGACCCCCCCGGCTGGGACCCCCCCTCAGGTGGCTGCGTCTCCTCAGGTTGCTGCTGCCTGCTCCTGTCGGCCTCTCACTCACCCGACTCTTCTCTGGTACCACCGCCTATGTCACCCTGCGCTCCCGCGTCTGTGTCACATGTCACAGCACGGTCTCGTCCTAGGCCTCTCCGGGTCGTTCCCTGAGTTTCCCTCCTCCCCAGCCCCACCTTGCACGCCCTGCGTCGAGGGCCGACTCCGCCGTGCCCCTCACTCCTCCTCGTTTCCCCCTACCGCAACACCGCTAAAGACTCTGCACATGGACGTCTGGGGCCCCGCCAGACCCTTTTCCTCACCAGATCTCAACCCGGATATTTTTCCCCACCAGTCACGACTACTTCGACTGTTGCACCGCTCAGAGACATACGGATCCTAGCATGATTCTAATAGTGCAAGGATGCACTGTCAACCGTGCTATGTTACCCTAAGTTTCGTGGCAGATACGCAAATTTTCGCCACTCTGCTCGTAATTTTTACCTACAACGGTGCGATGAAGACGATCCATGATAAGACGAGACCAATCGACTAATGGCATCTTTGGCCACACCTCAGCATGTCTAGTCTTAGAGATAACATTCAACATGAAATCGTGCACAGTACTCTTGCATACGTTCAAATACTTCGCGATTTTCCTAGTGCTCACCCCCTTATGCAAAAGCGTGGGTCCAGGAAGAGTGCGAGAAGATCCCTGTAAAGGTTTGCACTAACCTCATAGATAACATGCCTAGGAGTGTGTAGGTGGTGATCAAGGCCAAGTGTCGGTTGACTAGGTACTAGTTTTGCTAGTAACTAGTTTGCTGCCTGTCCCCGGTACAAATTGTCCGGATGTGCTGTTATTAAATGTTGTCGTCTTGAAGGACCATGAAATATACTACTCTGGTTTTAGGAGATTTGAGTGAGTGCTCTAACTGCTCCTCTCTACTTGTATGGCCACCATGAAATAAGGCTTAATGTTTATAGCGTACAGCTCGTCAAAATGTAAAAATATGCTAAACATGTGGACAATTGTTTCCTCCACTGTAGTCGCGTTCGGGATCTGGCAGGATGAGTACTGGTGCGGACGTAAGTGCTTGCTTCAGCTGCTCCACGGCGTCCAGGTTCACCACCACGCACTCGTCCAAAAGTGGTCGTAGAATGTGGTTCATTTCGGCTTGGAACGTTGCCGGTGCGTTGGTGAGTCCGAACGGCATTACCAAATACTCGTACGATCCATACAGAGTTCGGAAAGCAGTTTTGTGGATAGAGTTGTCCGCCATCCGTATCTGCCAGTATCCGGACCGCAGATCCAGTTTGGAAAATACCGTAGCTCCCCAAAGCTGGTCACGTAGGTCATCGATTCGTGGTATCATATATTTATTCTTGATGGTCTGCTTGTTGAGAGCTCGGTAGTCGATGCACATGCGCAGGCTTCCGTCCGGTTTCGGTGTGAAGAGTACTGGGGCATCGTACGGCTAAGTGGATGGTCGGATGAGTCCTTTGGCTAGGAGATACT